CCCGGGCAGGGCGCTGGCGGTGGATGTGCCACGCAGGCTGCTCATCGCAAGCAGACGCCCGAATCGCCCAGCACATAGCAGGCGGTCTCAGCTTTGTGGGGGGAGGCTCAGTTTCATGTCCAAGCTTTTATCCCTGCCAACATCCATCCAGCAGCATCCCACCGGGGGATGCAGGAGCCTCGGGCAGCTGGAGAAGTCACATCCCCCTCTGTGACGGGGCTTCCCTCTGCTCATTAGCCAGCATCCCATCTATCTGTCTGCAAGCTCCTCCGTCAGAAATGGGGCTTCTCCATGACCACAGCGAGGCAAAGATTTCCCTCCCTTCACACTGCTGTAAAACAGTGAGAAATAAGCCGGACAAGGACAGGGACAGACCTGCTGGGCACACTAAAGCCCTATCAGATGTCTGGTACAACCTCTCTCCCTCCAGTGATGCTCAGGACAAAACTCCATCCCATCTTGGAGCCACATAGCCCCAAATCCCTTCTGCTACACTGGAAATGAAGAACGATTTTGCTGCTGAGGGATAAAAGCTCCTAAACCCAGGGCTGGCCACCCCCAGCTCCTGCGCGGCCGGTCCAGCAGCCCCGCTCCAGCTCCAGCCCACTGGTGAGGCTGCCCCTGCCTGAATCATCCCCGACACCCAGGTCAGCTCAGATGTAATTATCTTGAAATACAATGAACATCATAAATTTGCTGGCTTTTGAGGTGCAAAGGCTGGCAAACACACGAGGAAGGTGACACACCGCTCCTCCCACCAGCTGTGGGTGCACGGGCTGGGACATGGGCACTCTGACAGCAGAGGGGTGCCCGGCAGGGCTGGCCGGGTGGATTTGGGAACACCATGCCCCAGGGATCCTGCCCGTCCAGCACTGCTGCTGGGGGAGGAGTGGACGTGTTTATGTCTGCCTGCTCAGCTGAGTGCCGCGGGGCCGGAGCACCCTGGGGAGCAGGGAACAGGGTTGTGAGGCTTGAGCTGGTCACCTCCCCTGGGGCTCTGGTCCCCTAAAAGCCCCTTGGGTTTTCTCTGCTTTACACCCTGAGAGAGGAGCAGGAGCGTGGCAGTGGCAGAGACGCAGGGAGCAGAAGCTGGAAAGCATCTCCTGAATACTAAACACGGCGTGGAGCATGTGCGTCTCGCACTCTGCAAGAGCTGGAGCTCACCCATGGCATCTTCTCCATCCCATCCCTAGAAAGCCACACGCTCCACTCCTGCAGACGGGCACCTTCACTGCATGGTCCTTCTGGAAATTACATGGTCAGGCACATCCCAACGGAAATGAACCATTGAGGAGCACCCAAGTGAGACCTTACCTCCCACATAGGCGATGGAGAAGCCCCTCTTGGCCGTGTTGCGGTCGGTGTGGAGGACCAGCAGCAGCTGGTTGCTGCTGGAGGTGATGGGTGCCAGGCTCTCCCGCCCACACCACTGCCCCAGGAGGGACCCGTTCTCGGTGCCACCATCGAACGCAGCCAGGTGGTCGTAGTCACAGCTGCCCGTCAGGCTGCTCCGGCCCTCCAGCTCCATGTCCAAGAAGAACACCTTGATCCGGTAGCCGGGGGGCAGCTGGATGCTCCACTGGCACTTGAGGTTGTTGGGGTAGAAGTTGGGGTACCGAGGGCTGGAGAAATTCCCTTTGACGGCAGTGAACACCTCCTGGCACTCGCCTGCTCAGGGAAAAAGGGGAAAGGAGAAAAATGAAAGCAAAGCTGAACCCCCTGGGTGTGGATGAGCTGGCAGATGAGCGGTCACTTGTTTTATTGCTAAAGGATGCTCTGCCCTTCACCTCACTGCTCCCCAGCCTTGCGTTTGGCCAATGGACACCCATCAGTTTTGGGGGATGGCAGTGCCCAAGGTGGCCAAAGTCCTACAAAACCAAATGGGGGAAAACCCATATCCTCAGGGAACAGCATGACCACGGGAGAAGGGCAGCTCTTGCTCAAGAGAAAGACATCCCGGGGTCTGGGATAGCCACAACGATGCCATTTGCATCGCATGGTGATTTACGCTTCACACCATCATCCCACAAGCTCTCCCCAAAGGCCTCCCCCTCCACTGTCACCTCCTCCTGCTGCCATGGGCAGGAGTGCATCACTGCCACCACCCCGGGGACCCATCCCCACGTCCTCCCCACTGCCTGCCAACCCGAGACCCCCACACCTGAGTAGAAATGGGCCTTGAAGCCCCTGCCACCAATGTTGAAGTCCGACTTGAAGAGGATGAGGAGGTGTGGGGTGGAGGAGATGGTGCGGGGCGGGCGGGCGCTG